CTTTGTCATGGCTCTATCGACATCTTCTCATTTTACATATGTCACAATGTGTGAATGCGAGGGGATTTGTATCACTTGTGATGCCTTGTTTTAGAGTATATTCACAAATTTCTTTACTATAAAATTGCTGACAACATTAACATTTCAGTTCCAAACCAAGTACATACAAGTCTGATGAAGATCCGGGAACAGGTTTTCAAGAGATTGATAAAAAACACATCCCTGACAAAAGGTGAGTCTATGTCAATACTCTTTAATTTATACCTGTCTATGAAACTGTCCCCTATCTCCAGAATCCTAAATCAAATTTAAGCAATGGTTGAAATTATCTGTTTTTGAACATTCAGTCCGATACAAGAATATATATATATAGTCATGTGTTATATATAATACAGTTGTGTCATGATTGAAGTGTTATTATCCCCCACTTTCACCAAAACAGGGGATATTAATTTGGGTTTGTCCATCTGTCTGTCACGCTTCGTTTCCGTGCAATAACTGCAACAAATGTCAACCGATTTTCTTCAAACTTGGTAACAGGGTTTCAAAGCCTTAAGGGCTCAGCCAAGTTCGATGACCACTTTCAGCGGACCTTATTTGGCAGAGCTATGGCCCCTTGAATAACGAGAAACGTCATTATCTACCGTTTCCGTGCAATAATTGCAACAAATGTTAACCATTTTTCTTCAAACTTGGTAACAGGGTTAAATGCCTTAAGGCTGGACCAACTTCAATGACCTTTATTTGGCGGAATAATGGCCCCTTAAATAACGAAAAACATCATTATCTGCCGTTTCTGTTCATTAACTCTAGCAAATATTAGCCAAATTCCTTCAAACTTGATAACATTGTTTGTGTCACTCTGACTTTCCACCCATCTCAGGCACTCTTTGGTTTTCGTGTGATAATTGCTGTAGATATTGTGCAGATATTTCAACCAAATTCCGTATGCACATCCGCCTCGTGCTAAATTTGCCAAGCGATGTCATTTGTGCATATTTACGGATAATTAATGAGGTATAANGCTAGGGCGGGGCCCCAAAGGGAACATTTACCAATATTTTCAAATTCTTATCCATTGATGACATGACAAGTATTGTATTTCACTTAGTTTACATGCTGATTTCCACATCACATCTTAACAATAAAATAAAGCTACCAGTACCTATGATATAACTCAGGTGACCGCTAAGGCCCTTGGGCCTCTTGTTTCTAATCTTGGCAAGAAATTAAGCTTTGCTGGAATAATTGTGATGAGATGGCAATTAGACGGTATGAAAAAATAAGATCCGTCCTTGCCTCAGGGACTGGAGGGTTGGGCTAAAAAGAGGAAAATGGCTGATATTTAAAAAAAACTGCACTCAGATGTACAAGATTCAAGTTTCTTTTATGGATAGAAATGTCCTACCGTGCATTATATAACTTGTTAGTTATATTACCCTTTGGTCACCTGTTTTAGTTATATTACCCTTTGGTCACCTGTTCTCCTTGGTTTATATAAGGAAATAACACTTCTGACTATATCTTCTTCATTTTCAGCAAGAAATCATTCAAACTTGGTTGGAATAGTTATAATGAAATTGAAATCAAATAGTATGCGAAAGTAAGATCCTGACCTATCCGAAGGGTTGACCAAAGAGGAAAATTGGCTAAAAGACACTTGATATTATATTTCTCAATAGCAAAATAATTTATTTAAATAGTTTTAAAGTTCTTATCCTTTGATGACATGACAAGTATAGTGTATTTCACTAAGTTTACATGTTGATTTCCACATCACCTTGGGCATCTTGTTTATTATCCCCTCGCAAAGAAAGTTAATTCCGCCCATACGTACAGTACGTATGTTACACTCATTGTCATCGCTCTACAGACTTCATTCCTCAACAGAATTTCATGAAATTTGATATGAGTGTTTGGTATGGCTATATGCTGAACAAGTTTGCGTTTCAGATTACTGCGTTTAAGGTCCAAGGTCACTTTTGAGATTTTTAGAAAAACTTTGTCATTGCTCTAAATGCAATTTCATGAAACTTGATACAAGTGTTTGGTATGGCAATATCTTGAACAAGTTCAAGTTCGTGTTTCAGATTACTACATTAAAGGTCAAGGTCACTGTTACTATTCTTTACCAAAAACTTTGTCATCGCTCTATCAACTTCATTTCTCAACAGAATTTCATGAAACTTAATACAAGTTTTTGGTAAGGCAATATCTTGAACAAGTTCGCGACTCAGGTTACCTGTTAAAGGTCAAGGCCAGTTTTACTAGGTTAAGAAACTTTGTCATCGCTCTTTCAACTTCATTCCTCAACGGAATTTCATGAAACTTGATACAAGTGTGTAGTATTACAATAGCTTGAACAATTTGGTGTTTTAGGTTTCTATGTTGAAGTTCAAAGTCACTGTTACTACTTTAAGAAAATGTTTGTCATCGCGCTATCGACTTCATTCCTCAACAGAATTTCATGAAACTTGATATGAGTGTTTGGTATATGGCTATATCTTGAACAAGTTTGCGTTTCAGGTTACTTATATATGTTTAAAGTCAAGGTCACTTTTACTGTTTTAAAAAAAAACTTTGTCATGGCTCTATCGACATCTTCTCATTTTACATATGTCACAATGTGTGAATGCGAGGGGATTTGTATCACTTGTGATGCCTTGTTTTAGAGTATATTCACAAATTTCTTTACTATAAAATTGCTGACAACATTAACATTTCAGTTCCAAACCAAGTACATACAAGTCTGATGAAGATCCGGGAACAGGTTTTCAAGAGATTGATAAAAAACACATCCCTGACAAAAGGTGAGTCTATGTCAATACTCTTTAATTTATACCTGTCTATGAAACTGTCCCCTATCTCCAGAATCCTAAATCAAATTTAAGCAATGGTTGAAATTATCTGTTTTTGAACATTCAGTCCGATACAAGAATATATATATATAGTCATGTGTTATATATAATACAGTTGTGTCATGATTGAAGTGTTATTATCCCCCACTTTCACCAAAACAGGGGATATTAATTTGGGTTTGTCCATCTGTCTGTCACGCTTCGTTTCCGTGCAATAACTGCAACAAATGTCAACCGATTTTCTTCAAACTTGGTAACAGGGTTTCAAAGCCTTAAGGGCTCAGCCAAGTTCGATGACCACTTTCAGCGGACCTTATTTGGCAGAGCTATGGCCCCTTGAATAACGAG